ATATGGGTGTGCGCAAGGCCAGTGCCGAGGTAGTGGAATGGCGTTCCGCCATGTTCCGGCTGAAAAAAAGCCCTGATCACAACTAGGTCTTATTTTCGGGGTAGGTCTTATACTTCTGCAATTCCCAAAAATAGCGCTAGGTCTTATTTTCGGGCTAGGTCTTATTTTAGGGGAAACAGGGTAGTAGCCTGGGTGTAATAGCCAGAAGGTAAAATTGTGGTTAGGAGCTGAAAGGCACTGCAGGCTGGTCTCTCTGGAATTTCCCCCTGATCTAGGGTTTTGGCGGAAGGCCCTAGAGGCAGTGCCTGGATCTGAGGAGTGGCTGGCTTGCACTCTTGAGGGATCCTGGCCAAGCCCTAACAGGAGGTTGGAAAGGGGCTAGGACACCCTTAAAAGTGTTGGAGACTGCTCAGCTGCAGGAGAGTTCAGGTGGAAGATGTGAGGCTGAAGGCTGGAGGCTGCGAGGAGGCCCAGTGGGATGGGGGCCTACCTGCAGCTGGAAAGGGAGAAGCTCAGACTTTCACTGGCCGCAGGGTGAGGACCTCCTGTATGGCAGGGAAGGTGCGGCCCAGCTGGAAAGGTCTGGTAGCAGCCACCAACCCACCAGAAGTACAGGAAAGAATCTGAGTGAGGACCCCTGCACTCCCTGGGTAGATAGGGGAAGGAGCACTCTGGTGGGAAACCAGATTCGCTGCCTATTTGTGATTGTCCACTTTTAAAGTAACAGGCACCAGATTCCCTGTTCGGCGACATCTCCAGATTGCTGAGTTCATCTAGGGTCTAGGTTGGTACATTACTAACACACTAGCTAGCTCTCCAACAAAGACTGTGCTGCAGAAAAGGCTTGTAAATAGTTCCAGAACGTTGCCCTCAGTTTATCAGTTTCCTTGGACATCCTGTACACCCCTAACCCTATCCCAGTTCAAACCCCCTACATAAATCTAAACCAAAGCTCAAGGACTGATCTCTGAATCTGGATGCAAGCCTGTGTTGACATGTGTGACATGCAGGACATGCCTGGCAGTGCAGGACTGTAGGGGGACCCAAATCTTTTAGCGACTCCTAAGGAGGTAGTGCTACACATACAAGAAAAGTAATTTGCTTAATACACAAAGACTGTGTGAGGTAATGTAAAGGCATTCCTTATCTGACAAACATATGGATTTAATTATTCACTTGCATATTATACCAAAATTAAGTTATCAGGAAAAAAAAAATACCCTTTAGAGAGAGGCTTGCTGAACAATGTTGAATAAATATTTTTTTCCCTGTTTGTTGCTTCATCTGGATATCTTGCTATTAAGTAAGCAACTATTTCTTTTGCCTTTGTAGCATCCATGGTATCTAATAGCACAATACAGATAGATGAAAACAGCAGTGAATAATGATGGTGGTCACAATTCCAAGACTGTCTGAACACAGGTCACTGTGCAATATTCTCATCAATAAGAAAGCCTCTTAAATGGAACAGCCCCTTTTTAATTAAAAAGTAACCCCCCCCCCCCACCTTGTAATATAACACATTTAATATGCATGGGATACAGATTTTGAAACTAAACTGTCTGAAAAGAGATAACTGTTCAATACTCTTATCAAAAATGTAGCGCTCCTCTAGGTAGCCAGGGAGAGCTAGTGGCTAATCTTTAGTTAGAAAGGCTGAGCAGCAGAGTCAAATTTGGGTTAGGGCTGAGAGGCTCTGCAGGTCAGTTCCCTGATATCTACCATGCTCAAGATACTTGACAAACTTCTGCATACTTAGGGGATCCTGACCAATTCCCAGGCAAGAGGCTTGGCATGGGGTCAGGACAGCCCTTAAGTATGGCTGAGCCTTCTCAGCAGCAGAAGAGTTTGGGTAGAAGAGATGCAGGAGCTTGGGAGGCGGCCCCACCTACAGGGTGGGGATCTGGACAGGAGGATCACTTAGCCTCACCAGTCCCTGGAAGGAGGATTACCAATGGAGATAGGAAACGAGCCAGCCCAGCAGAAGACCTGAAGGCAGCCACCTACCTAAACCTGCTCCCAGGAAAGGGACTGAGTGAATAATCCTACACCCCCTGGGCCAGCTAAGGGGAAGAGAGCATTCTGGTGGGAAACCTGACTAGCTCCTTACCCGGGACTGTTCATCTGAAAGTGACAGGCACTGGATCCCTTATCTTGGCCATCCCATTCACCCCTTACCCCATCCAAGCTCAATAACTCCAATAAAACAAAACAATAAAACACAAAAACAAGCTCAAGGATTGTTTATTGTCTCTGGAATGCAAGTCTATGGAAAATGCATGTTGCCTGGCTTTTGCAAGATTATAGGGGGACCCAAATCTTCAGCAGCTCCAAAAGGGGTAGTGCTACAATAAGAAAGCCTATGAAATGTGACAGCACCATTTTTAACTAATATATATGTAGCAATACCCCCCAAAGGGGCTGCTTAAGTTTGTTCACTCTGCTACTCTGCCTCTCAACCCCAAGAACTCTCTCAGCCCCAACTGACACACCTGGCAATAGTGTAAGTGCAAGGATCAATGAAAAGCACACACTTTATAATAAAACACAGAGATCAGCTTTACTGTAAGACTTCTATGGGAAGTAATAAACATTGACAACAGGTATACGTTGTTAGGTGAATCAAGAGAACAGCAAATACTGTGACCGAAAGCAATATAGCTCACTTTTACACTCAGGCTGCTTTCAGGGGATTCCAACCCCAAGAGCAGAGGCAAACACTTAAATGGCAACCTAAATGTGGGTCTAAACCCCTTTACATAAATTTGGCTCTATGATGTCCAAGCAGGAGGAGAGCAGAAGAATGACTCTCTGTTGTGTCAGACTTCTCCCTTCTAACTCCCGACACCACAAGCCCAATAGGCAAACACTGTGCCCAACTGATGCTTTATAGCTACTTTCCAAGGTACAGCTATTCCCTCACACACCATGCAATATAGAGGCCTGAATACGCATGCACGTGCCGTCAGTCTCTTGGTAACAGGATGAATCTTGGGATCTTCAGCTAGCCACGTTCGTTGGCGCACTTATACTCCTATGGTAAAGTATATTGTAATCCCGTGGCAGTATTTGTATAGCATAGCAAATACTGTGTCTGTTTAGCAGGGCCATCTACACAACCCAGTGCCTGGTGAGTATGGGCGAAGTGTAATGTCTCTGTCTGTGTGCAGTGTTCCTGTCATCTGCCAGTGGGCAAAATCCCTCTCACCAGATCCTGTGACTAAGGCCCAAATGATTGTCCTGGAAATGACAGGCTCCTCTGGGCACCTCACAATGAGCACTTCATACTGTCGATGTAGGAACTGTATTGTAGGTCCACATCTCTCAGTTTGGATGTTCCCCTGACTGATGCAGATAACTCAGCATGCTGTGAACTGACCCTAAGCACTTCTCTGCTAGGTCCAGACTGTTACCTTTGCCACATGCAGACTGCCTCCCCCCAGGAGAAACAAGATGGAGTCCTTCACTCTGCTCTCACTAAGCATGCTGGTCTTTGCAGCTCCATTTCTATATAAGCCTATCAGGCCATTTCTTTTCAGGACTACATATTCCACAATGCTTTGCAGCTGCACCTCCTGCTTGAGAAAGTGCCTGTCATTGGCTCCTTTAATGGCTCTTTTGATTGGCTCTCTCTCTCTCTCTCTATTACAGTCTGAGAGGAGAAGGGAGGGGCTGAAATCCCTCACTGTGCAAGTGTCAGGGTTCAGAGGAGATACAAGTCAGCAGGTTACAGCAGTCACAAATAGGATTAATGTCCTCCGCTACACATATATATCCCAGCTTGTAAAACAACCCATTCTATGTATAATAGAAATGAAAAGCAAAACTTTTTTTTGGAATACCAAAAAATTATAAATACTTTTTTTCTTTTTGTTCTCAATCCAATACCTTCTTTTCTCAGCTGTAGAATGAGCTTTGAGAGCTGGTATAGGAGAAATAGCAGCACACTGGTGTTCCAAGTGAATGGCTGTGCAGGAGTAGGGGCATGTCAGAGCAAGTCTGATCATTGGAGGAGAGCAGGCTGAGCTCCAGCATCACAATTAGAGAACTGACCATGCTGTGCTCTCATGTCTAGTGTGCTCAGGTTTTTTTTTATGGGAAAGTAGGACTGGCCACACACTGGATTTCACACAAAAGAAGCAATAAAAAAGAGAACAGGATACTTCTTCATACAAATACATGATACAGCAGGAATAGGAAAGCTTGTGTTTACATATTATTACAACTTATATAGATTGGGTATGATAGCCAAGCATATAGTTTAACCCCAGCGGTTCTCAACCTGGGGGTCGCGACCCCTTTGGGGGTCGAACAACGCTTCCACAGGGGTCGCCTAAGACCATCGGAAAACACATATTTCCGATGGTCTTAGGAACCGAGACACCGCTCCTCGCCGACGCCACCGCCGTCTCCAGGTGTGGGCGGGATGACATGCCGTCCCTGTCATCTGGACACACCTCGAGATCAATCCTCGCCTGTGATTGGCCGCCGGCACTGTAGCTCAGGAGAGGCACACAGGCGGCCAATCACCGGCAAGGAGGTGGAGCTTGGAAAGGAGGAGCCGAGCGGCACCGCGAAGATCGAGCGAGTGAAGAGGAGGAGAGCGGCCGGAGAAGGAAGACATCTGACAGGTAAGTGTCGGTACCATGGGAGAGGGAGGGAGCGAGCGAGCCCAGGCTGGAGCAGGGGTCAGCAAGGTAAGTATCATTGGTGTCAGTGGGAATAGTGCCCCATCATTGGTGTCACTAATACCAATGATGGGGCACTATTCCTCCCACTGACACCAACGATGGGACACTATTCCTCCCACTGACACCAATGATGGGGCACTATTCCTCCCACTGACACCAACGATGGGGCACTATTCCTCCCCCAAATGACACCAACGATGGGGCACTATTCCTCCCCCACTGACACCAAGGATGGGGCACGATTCCTCCCCCCACTGACACCAACGATGGGGCACAATTCCTCCCCCCACTGACACCAAGGATGGGGCACTATTCCTCCCCCCACTGACACCAAGGATGGGGCACTATTCCTCTCCCCACTGACACCAAGGATGGGGCACTATTCCTCCCCCCCACTGACACCAAGGATGGGGCACTATTCCTCCCCCCACTGACACCAAGGATGGGGCACTATTCCTCCCCCCACTGACACCTATGATGGGGCACTATTCCCCCCACTGACACCTATGATGGGGCACTATTCCCCCCACTGACACCAATGATGGGGCACTATTCCCCCCACTGACACCTATGATGGGGCACTATTCCTCCCCCCACTGACACCAATGATGGGGCACTATTCCTCCCACTGATACCAATGATGGGGCACTATTCCTCCCCCCACTGACACCAATGATGGGGCACTATTCCTCCTCCCACTGATACCAATGATGGGGCACTATTCCTCCCACTGATACCAATGATGAGGCACTATTCCTCCCACTGATACCGATGAAGGGGCACTATTCCTCCCACTGATACCGATGATGGGGCACTATTCCTCCCACTGACACCGATGATGGGGCACTATTCCTCCCACTGATACCGATGACGGGGCACTATTCCTCCCACTGATACCAATGACGGGGCACTATTCCTCCTCCCACTGATACCAATGACGGGGCACTATTCCTCCCACTGACACCAATGATGGGGCACTATTCCTCCCACTGATACCAATGATGGGGCACTATTCCTCCCACTGATACCAATGATGGGGCACTATTCCTCCCACTGATACCAATGACGGGGCACTATTCCTCCTCCCACTGATACCAATGACGGGGCACTATTCCCACTGACACCAATGATGGGGCACTATTCCTCCCACTGATACCCATGATGGGGCACTATTCCTCCCACTGACACCAATGATGGGGCACTATTCCCCCACTGATACCAATGATGGGGCACTATTCCTCCCACTGATACCAATGATGGGACACTATTCCTCCCACTGACACCTATGATGGGGCACTATTCCTCCCCCCACTGACACCAATGATGGGGCACTATTCCTCCTCCCACTGACACCTATGATGGGGCACTATTCCTCCTCCCACTGACACCTATGATGGGGCACTATTCCTCCCACTGATACCGATGATGGGACACTATTCCTCCCACTGACACCAATGATGGGGCACTATTCCTCCCACTGACACCAATGATGGGGCACTATTCCTCCCACGGACACCGATGACGGAGCACTATTCCTCCCACTGACACCAATGATGGGCACTATTCCTCCCACTGACACCAATGACGGGGCACTATTCCTCCCACTGACACCAATGAAGGGGGCACTATTCCTCCCATTGACACCAATGACGGGGCACTATTCCTCCCACTGATACCAATGATGGGGCACTATTCCTCCCAATGACACCAATGACGTGGCACTATTCCTCCTACTGCAAAATTACAGTTATGAAGTAGCAACGAAAATAATTTTATGGTTGGGGGTCACCACAACATGAGGAACTGTATTAAGGGGTCGTGGCGCTAGAAAGGTTGAGAACCACTGGTTTAACCACTAGCCTACAGGGCACTTATACCCCCTTCCTGCCCAGGCCAATTTCCAGCTTTCAGCGCTGTCGCACTTTGAATGACAATTGCGCGGTCATACAACACTGTACCCATATGAAATTTTTTATCATTTTTTTGTGACAGATAGTGCTTTCTTTTGGTGGTAATTAATCACCTCTGGGTTTTTTATTTTTTCTTAAACAAACCAAAAACCACTGAAAACTTTGGGGAAAAAAAAAAAAACGTTTTTTCTTAGTTTTTGTTATAAAATGTTGTAAATAAGTGATTTTTCTCCTTCACTGATATACGCTAATGAGGCTGCAGTGGTGGGCACTGATAGGCTGCACTGATGGACACTGATAGGTGGCACTGATGGGCACTGAGGAGGAGGCACTGATAGGTGGCACTGATGGGCATTGACAGGCATCACTGATGGGCACTGAAAGGCAGCACTGATACATGGCACTGATAGGCGGCACTGACTGGCACTGATAGGCGGCACTGATGCACACTGATAGGCGGCACTGACTGGCACTGATAGGTGGCACTGATTGGCAGCACCAATAGGTGGCACTGAGTGGCATTGATAGGTGGCACTGACTGACACTGATGGGTGACACTGAAAGGTAGCTCAGATGGGCACTGATATGTGGCATTTATGTGGCACTGATAGGCACTGGCACGAGGCACTGATGAGCACTGACACAAGGCACTGATGGACACTGACAGGTGGCACTGCTGGGGCTACACTGATCATCAGGGCACACTGATAATCAGTGCTCTGATGATCAGAGTACATGTCCCCTCCGCGGGAAAGCCGATTACCGACTCGCCTCTCCTCTCAAGCTGTTAGCGTGACAGCTCGAGAGGAGAGAAATGCCGATAACCAGCATTTCCCTGTTTACATGTGATCAGCTGTGATTGGACACAGCTGATCACATGACCAAGCCGACATCTTCAGCTCTTTCCGTGATCGGTGATCCGCTGTGTCCGAGGGACACAGCGCACCGCCGATCGCCGCGCTGTGCGCTCCCTGAGCCACGCATACGCACTGAGAATGGGAGAGCGTCATATGACGTCCTCCCAGAACAAGAGAACCACCTTGCACCCATCATTGGACTATATGGCGGGCAGGAGGTGGTTAATATAGGAGTTGTAGGTTAGCTGCTAGAATTAGAGACATATTGCCTAGTATGTCAAGTTTGTGACAACAACAGAAAGAAATGTTCAGCTTCACAGAAAGTATTGCATAAAGTTATGGTTGATGAGGAAAACCCATGTAATAGCATAAACCACCTGAGCTCCACAAGGTATTCTCCTTCAAGACCAGGTCACTTTTAGCCATTCATCACTGCAATTAAACTGGTAATTGCGCAGTCATGCAATACTGTACCCAAATTAGATTTATTTTACACAAATAGAGCTTTCCTTTGTTGGTATTTGATCAACATTGTATTATTTATAATACAAACCAAAAAAAGAATGTTAATTTTTGTAAAATAACTATATTGTAATATTTCTATTATAAAACATAGCCAATGAAATCAAATTTCTTTATAAATCGAGGCGAATATACATTATGCTTCATATCTTGGTAAATAAAAAAAAAATAAATTGACCTATAAAAGTATGGTATATATTAATTGGTTCATGAAAAATCTATAGCATCTAAAAAATATTGAATATACACTGCAATTTACGCAGCAATAGCATTCATTTATGGGTGTGGTTTACCATGGAAAGAAAAGGTGGCTGCACGCAAAGCATGCTGCTCCAAAAGTGGGCGTGGCTTAACACTAAATATTGGGCATGGCTTAAAGGGTGTGCGGTTAGAGTGCTCTCACACTCATCTAAGAAAAAACAAACACTTTAATAATGTAAAAAAAGAACTGGACTACACTCATTAGTTGCTAAAGTGCATAGCATTACTACTGCACATCATGCATGGTTACTAGAGGTTACTGCAGTTAGTACAGGAGAAGGTCAGAGACTGCAGGCGTACTACAGGAGTTGGTTAGAGACTGAAGGCCTAGTACAGGAGTTGGTTAGAGACTGAAGGGTCTGGGACTGCAGGCGTACTACAGAGCAGGGTCTGGGACTGCAGGCGTACTACAGAACAGGGTCTGGGACTGCAGGCGTACTACAGAACAGGGTCTGGGACTGCAGGCGTACTACAGAACAGGGTCTGGGACTGCAGGCGTACTACAGAGGAGGGTCTGGGACTGCAGGCGTACTACAGAACAGGGTCTGGGACTGCAGGCGTACTACAGAGGAGGGTCTGGGACTGCAGGCGTACTACAGAACAGGGTCTGGGACTGCAGGCGTACTACAGAACAGGGTCTGGGACTGCAGGCGTACTACAGAACAGGGTCTGGGACTGCAGGCGTACTACAGAACAGAATCTGGGACTGCAGGCGTACTACAGAAGAGGGTCTGGGACTGCAGGCGTACTACAGAACAGGATCTGGGACTGCAGGCGTACTACAGAACAGGGTCTGGGACTGCAGGCGTAGAAGGGGTCTGGGACTGCAGCGTACTACAGAAGAGGGTCTGGTACTGCAGGCGTACTACAGAACAGGGACTGGGACTGCAGGCGTACTACAGAAGAGGGTCTGGGACTGCAGGCGTACTACAGAAGAGGGTCTGGGACTGCAGGTGTACTACAGAAGAGGGTCTGGGACTGCAGGCGTACTACAGAGCAGGGTCTGGGACTGCAGGCATACTACAGAAGAGGGTCTGGGACTGCAGGCGTACTACAGAAGAGGGTCTGGGACTGCAGGCGTACTACAGAAGAGGGTCTGGGACTGCAGGTGTACTACAGAACAGGGTCTGGGACTGCAGGCGTACTACAGAAGAGGGTCTGGTACTGCAGGCGTACTACAGAACAGGGTCTGGGACTGCAGGCGTACTACAGAACAGGGTCTGTTACTGCAGGCGTACTACAGAACAGAATCTGGGACTGCAGGCGTACTACAGAAGAGGGTCTGGTACTGCAGGCGTACTACAGAACAGGGTCTGGGACTGCAGGCGTACTACAGAACAGGGTCTGGGACTGCAGGCGTACTACAGAACAGAATCTGGGACTGCAGGCGTACTACAGAAGAGGGTCTGGGACTGCAGGCGTACTACAGAACAGGATCTGGGACTGTAGGCGTACTACAGAAGAGGGTCTGGGACTGAAGGCGTACTACAGAAGAGGGTCTGGGACTGCAGGCGTAGTACAGGAGAGGGTCAGAGACTAAAGGCCTAGTACAGGAAAGGGTAAGAGACTGAAGGCCTAGTACAGGAAATGGTCAGAAACTGAAGGCCTAGTACAGAAGTTGGTCAGAGACTGCAAACATAGTAGACGAGAGAGTCAGAGACTGCAGGCGTAGTACACGAGAGTCAGAGACTGCATGAGTAGGCGTGTCCCCATCAGAGTAACCACATAGCGCAAGTGTCCCTATCAGGTGTCCCTATCAGAGTGACTTCATCAGACAGCAGGTGACTCCATCAGCCTGACCTCATCAGAGAGTTTGGTAGTAAGAACACAAAAGAGATCTTTCAGCTGCAGCTGCTCTTGTCACTGTTGGCTGCAGCTGAAAGATTGGTTATGTATAGTAAGAGCTCAGAGAAGTATTAGCCAGCCTCCCCTCTACTACTCCTGGTCCTAGAAGAAGACAAGCAGTGCCCCCAGGGAAGAGCTTACCTGACTTGCTCCTTCTTCATGCAGGCACAAACTTTCCCAAAAAGGCTGCACAGCGCACACCGAGGCAGGATCCTCTGCAGTTCACATTCGTTCAGCAGTTCCCTCATAGCTGCCAGAAGTGCGGGTCCCGAGGGCGCTCAATGGGAGAACAGTACAGGCAGACTGGGGACTACGTATCCATTTTCAGGTGTGGTGGACTAATCTACAGTGCAGAGACTACTGTGAATTAAACTAATATCCCGGCCTCTTCTACATCAATCCGCCGGAGCAATCCATCAGATTGATACAAAAGTGGCTGGGTAGTTAAGCTTATTAATAAGAAACAGCAGCACCGCAGATTACTCCACTGTTCCTGAAAATGGAAGAAAGTCCCCAGTCTGCTGCGGCCCATCTTCCTGCTGAGCAAATGGGGTTCTTGCAGAAGTAGGAAGCCCTTTCTGCAGCTGCCCTGCATTGATCTCCAATTTTCGTGACATTGGTCGAGACTGAGCAATGGCAGGACACCATTTAAATAATCGGGACTGTCCTGGGCAATCCATGACAGTTGGCAACTATGGGGATAGCAAAGCCATGAGACCGCTGCTCGTTTTTGCTGCCCCTGTGAAAGAGCCCTTAGGGGTGGAGTACAGAAATGACTAGGTAGAGAGATGTCTGTTAGCTGGAGGGAGAGATGCTGCACAGTCCACCTGCAGACTCAAAGGGCTCCATACATGTGTACTCCCTTTCCCCTGAACTTTCTAAAGGTTTACTGCAGGAGAAC